TTTGGTTTTAGTTTAAAAAAAGAAAAAGTAGATTCCCAGTACTTATTCTAAACCTACTGAGTTAGAATATCTATGGTTGAGGCTTGGGAATCATCATCATTAGCAAGCACCCCGGTCAGTCTCTTCAGAGCGTCAATATTCACTGACTCACTATTTTGTGGTGATAAATTATTAAGTGATGATGACCACATACCCTTTACCTGTGGAAGCCAGTCTTGTCCTGTGTGGAGCAAAGTAGCATCTTCAATATTCAGCTGTCCGGTTCTGAAAAAGACAAATCAAGACTCCAAGCATTTCATATTTTGAAATTCACACAGTTGCACGTTTCGAGGCTGCATTTGACAGCCTGCCATGGAAAGCGCAGTGACTGTTCTCCTCATCTTTGCCTCTTGCATCTGATTCTTGGTATTCTGCCTGATGCCTGGTTCTAAACCATTTTTGTCTCATGCTGGGTAGTAATAGCAATAAGCGCAGTAATGATCTCTTCCCCCAAAGCAACTGTTGTTATTGTTAATGAAGGTGCACTGCTGAGTTAGCCTCTTGAACATAATGCCACTTTAGGATTTTTTTGTTTCAGGCACTTTAAATTCTACCTTGCAAAGAACAAGGGTGACCTGACTTACTCAGTGTTATGGATTGAATTGTGTTCCCCAGAAATGTGTGTTGTAAATCCTAACCTCTATGCCGGTGGTTATAATCCCATTGAATGGGTTGTCTTTGTTGTTAATGAGGTAGTATTAGTGTATGGAGTATCTCGAGTCAATCTCTTTTGAGGTATAAAAGAGATTAAACAAGCAAGGGAGGAGGGAGAGATGGGGGAAGAGCGATGCAAAGCCCTGTAAAGACTGACTGGGAGCAGAAGCTCAAAAAGAGACCAGGACCTTCTTCCAGAGCTGACAGAGAAGGAAAGCCTTCCCCTAGACCCAGCACCCTGAATTCAGACTTTTAGCCTCCTATACTATGAGAAAATAAATTTCTGTTTGTTAAAGCCACCCACTTGTGGTATTTCTGTTATAACAGCCCTATATAACTAAGACGCTCAGTAAGGCGCTTGTAGCAGGAAAAGGGAAATACTGAAGTAAAAAGCAACCCCTTATTTCACGATTCATTATTGAACTCTCCGTGTTGAGGTTTAAAAGTAGTAGAACACTATTATATTATCCACCCGGTGATTTGCGGTGATTTGGACATTCTGCAGGCTGAAGAAAAAAATCTCTTTGTTCCAGTCTCAATCCAACATCACCTCACATCAGCCTTTTCTGATCGGACATAGCCCTTCTAGACTCCTTTGCTATTGCTTTATTTGCTGTCTTTCACGGCATTCATCGCTGTGTTTTATTTGTTAGCGTGTTCGTTTATGTTTCTGTCCCTATGAAGTTTCGTGAGTTGCTCTAGAATGTCCGCTTCACGAGGACCTGGATTCTGTAGTTGTTTCTGTGGCTGTTAGGCGTGTGGGGAGGAGAATGGAGACTACACTGGGACTTTGCTGGATAGAACACATCTCCACTCCTAAGTGTCTAGCTTCAGTCAACCTAAAGTAGCAGAT